TACAAGGAAAAACTTCTTCATGGTTCATGTGACCAGACTCTAGAATAGACTCCTGCCGGGATGATGCAGGCACCTATGCTAGAGATCTTCAAACAGACTGGGTGCACACCTTCTTGGGGTTCTTTTACCCCACAGCCTTTCCTGAGCAGAGCAGGGGTGCTGGATCTGATGGTCTCACAAGGTCCTTTCCAGTGTTAAACTGTGAATCTATGCAAAGACCTATTCTCCTAACTTGCACAGTAATACTAAATTCACTGTATGATAGAGCAACATATGCAGCCCAATAATAGTTTGGAGGAAATTACTTTTACTTTTCTTAATATTCTATGCAAATCATTTATTAAAACATTAATATTTGTGTTAAAATGACACAAATGTGTCAGTTAAAATGTAAAGTACTAATAAGGAGGAAACTTTTTTGTCAGCTGGGTTTTACTCTTATTAATCTAATCACAAAAAAGCTCACCCTTTAAATTAGTGGACTAGCAAGGAGGTGTGGGGAAGAAGGCTTTCAAATATGCAATGCAGAATGTACTTGCTGGCTTTATGGGTTTGTCCTGCCTTGTGCAGGAGGCTGCATGTTGTAAAAGATAATTATTTTCCTGCTTCAAAGGTCAGACGTGATAATAGGGAGCAGGTTTACAAGTAAAATGAAATTGGTCATTCAGGGGTTGTAGGCATTACTGGAAAAAAAATAAAGTAAAATAAAAGGAGGGAAACAGCATGCTTTTCATAAAATCAATATATTCAGCAGAACCCCTCACCAAATGTTTATGACCAGTGGTGCAACTTTTGTTAATGGCATTAAAGTCATTAAGAATCCATGAACTGCAGGTATCATTATTAAAATGTCAGTGTGTTAATCTTTACAGTAAAAGGACTATTAAATAATTTACAATTTAAGAGGGAGGAAGGCAGAAAATATGTCACCAGACCCAAGAAAGACGAAATATTAAAACCCTGTTCTATTCTGGCATCACTTGTCACAACTGTGCTTATGGACAGATTTTTAATTAGGAACCTGCAAGGTACAAAATAATATAGCCTAACAACTCATTTACAAAGCTAGAAACACTCTTTTTAAATATGAAACAATTGAATTAAATGGAGTTTTTAGGCTAGATTTTTTTTTAATCTACATATTTTCAGTGTTATTTGCAAAAGTTTGGCAGATTAATTAATCACTAAGTTGAAACCCAGCTGTATCTTTAAGGGAAAGGATTTAGTTTCCTGTCAGCTTCCTTTCTGGAAAATGTGATCTGTGTATAAACTGAAATCTTTCCAGTTTGGGTAAAACATGTTTGAAAACACCTTTTTTGGGAGAGTTATATTTTGATGGGCAAGAAAAGAGAAGTAGTTTTCAGTTTTAAATATTTACAGAAATATTTTGAGAAATCCAAAAGCTTTTTTTTCACTTATACAAGTACACACTGTTCAGACAAGAAGAGTTTTGACAGTGTTAACCTTGATCTGTTCTGGCACTGCAATCCACTGGAGAATGTTCTTTCAGAAATCACTGTACTTTGAACTGCTGATGGGACTGCTGCGGTGTATGTCTAAACAGGGACCATGGCATTTTGTTTCTAAGAGACGACAATAGGGTTTTCATGTTTATGTATATGTGGGCTGTATGAAAGCTATATACAAAATGTAAGCCAGAGTTGAGGACACACAAAATTTTATTCCTTGAGGTTCCTGATGTCCTTTTTAAAAAAACAAAAGGTAGGTAATGTGCGTGTATGAGGGTTTGTATTGTGCCTGGGTGTTGTGGGAACGGGAGTTTGCTGATTCTTTTGAATGACAGCGTAAATAAGAATTTATTTCTTATCAGTGTTCTGTGTAAGCAGGATACATGGAATGTTTGAATTTAACTTTATGGAAAAGAAGCATAGCAGCTTGCATTGTTAGAGTTTTCTTACATAAATGAAAAAATGCAAATTATTATTAAAAGAATACATGATAGACCAGGGTCAACTTCTTAAACAAATTCCATTTAGAAACAATTATCATCATGTTCCACTATTTCATTTTTAATTTTCTCCTTTTTGTTCTTTAGCATTGGTAACATTTGTATGAAAATGGAAAATTTGTTTATTACTGGTCCCAAGTTTCTCATATGTATTACTTGGGAAGTTATGCTCCTTTCATTAGCTAGAAACCCCACCTCTTGGGATATTTTAAAACCAGATTGGACAAAGCATTACAGAAATATCCTGTGGAAACAATCCTGCACTGGCAAAGTAATAGATTAGATTACCACAGTAGGTTTTTTCCTCTATCTTTAATTCACTGAATTTAATTTCACAGAATCTTTAATTTCACTGAATCCATTGTTGCATCCAGGACCACTTAAATCCCACATTTCCGTGGAAAAGAAGTAATTTGCTTATGTTGAATTACAACCTAAGTTATAACATCAAGACTTGTAATTTGTTCTATAATACAAAAAGCTACAAATATGCGTACATCTGTTTTTTGTATTAGTCTCATTAGTCAATGCATGTGAATATCTTGATTTCTATTTCCTTTTATAGAAAGAGTCAAGTGAGTTATTCATGATATTATTAAAAGTTTTACATAAACTTAAATAATGGTGGAAATTTCACTTCTCCTGCTGACTCATACTCTAAAGACCTCTGCCACAAAATAGAAATCTGCTTAAGTAATTCCTAAATTTATGGTATTTAGCAAGACATCTATATGACCCTACAACATAAATAACTTCATTTGGATTTTATAAAATAATGAATTACATCGGGATAATCTGAAATTAGAGGTGTGTCCTTAGTAAACTGCTGAGATCTTTGGTGTGTAATGCCTAATGGAGACTTTTTTCCCTTTCTTTGTCTAGTGTTGAGGGTGAGGCTCCAAGTAGTGAAACTGGCACATCTTTGGATAGCCCATCTACCTACCATCAAGGACCTATAACACACAGTTCAGCTATAAGCCCAGACCATTACGACCACTCTGCTTACGGGCTGTATTCTGTCTCCCCTGGGCAACAA